GACAAAGACCACAAATCACAAGACGTAAGTGGTGGGAGAGCAGGAGTGAGGTATTGACAGTGGTAGAGTACATTCCAAAAGTCAGAGTCTCAAGGAGTAACATGTTTGAAAGGAAAAGACAAGAACCCTGGTCACAGTACATAGATGAATTGTAGTTTTATTGTACTACACATCTGAGTTTCAGAGAATCAGTCACTGGGGGGCACAGAAAAGTTGCCAATTAGGTAAAAATGTATATAAAGTCTTGATATCAGCCCTGATATCAGTTCCCCTACATTAAACCCAGCATATATGGGGTTAAAATCAAAACACTCACCCCCTTTCCCTACTTACTCCTCGGCTTCCTGGCACCAGAATCCACCATCCACCATGGAGGCAGAAAACCCAGGACATCCACCTGCGGATTCCCGTATCTTGCTATTCTCCTCCCTGAAAGCAGCCTCACAAGGCCAAATGCAGGCTGGCAGGAAAACGCCAGCTAGCAAGGCCACAGGCTCCCCACTCCCTCCAAGCAGCCACATTCCTTGTAAGATTTAAAACCCCTGGCCTCCCATCTTTCAGGGAGATGAGACGAATTTGAGGGCTCACTCTCGTCTCCCAGGTGATGTCACCCAAAACAGAAAACCCTTTCCTTGACATAAGCCTGGTGTTCCAGTTTTATTTGGCCCCTCTTGTGTGGCAGGTAAAGAATGTATGTATGTGGCAGGTAACAGTATTGGCAAATCAAAATCCCTAATGATTTAAAATAATACATCAAACAAGTAGAGCTTATTCCGAGAACACAAGGATGATTCATCATTTTTAAAAATGTATTACATTTTGGGGCTGGCCCCGTGGCCGAGTGGTTAAGTTCACGCGCTCCACTGCAGGCGGCCCAGTGTTTCGTTGGTTCGAATCCTGGGCGCAGACATGGCACTGCTCATTAAACCACGCTGAGGCAGGTGTTTCGTTGGTTCGAATCCTGGGCGCGGACATGGCACTGCTCATTAAACCACGCTGAGGCAGCGTCCCACATGCCACAACTAGAAGGACCCACAACAAAGAATATACAACTATGTACTGGGGGGCTTTGGGGAGAAAAAGGAAAAAAATTAAATCTTTAAAAAAAAAATGTATTACATTTTAAATAGGAAAAACAATATGATCAACTCAACAGATTTATAGGAGTAAAAACACAAATGTACAAATGGCCAATAAACTTAAGCAGAAACTCCTTAGTAACCACGACAGATGCAAATGAAAACTATGTTTTCTGATTATTAGAATGACAAGATATTTAAGACCAATAACAGCCAATACTGTCAAAGGAAACAGGGAGTCTAACACACTTGTGGTAAAAGCTTAAATAGGTACACTCTTTCATGTAAATTATATCATTTTTACCTATTTACAAGTACTGGTACTGGAATGTAAAATATTTTTCACACCATGTGTATTAGCATTCAATTAGTTCAGTGGTTCTCAAATATTTTGGTCTCAGGTCTCCTCTGCATCCCTAAAAATTAGTGAGCCAGGGGCTGGGGGAGGGCTGTCTACAAAGAGGCAAGAGGGAATACGAGGTGGGTGATGAAATTGTTTTATATCTTGATTGTGGTGGTAGTTACATGACTGTATGTGTTTGTTCAAACTCACAGAACTTTATATTTGAAAAAGGTGAATATAATGTATGCATGTAAATTAAACCTTTAAAAAGCCCAACTTAAAAAAAATTCGTGACTCTGAAGAGTTTTTGTTTCTATGGGTTACATGTATCAATACTTAGCATGTTAGAAATCATAACTGAGAAAACTTTAAAAGTTATTTATGTATTCATTTTAAAAACAATAAATGCTCAGAAAGCAATCAGAAATGATCAACGATTACAGCAAAGTTGCAGAGTACAAAATCAACTTACAAAATTCAGTTGCTTTTCTATCCTCTAATAAACAAACTAACGGAAAGAGAACTCATGAACACAATCCTATGCACAATCACAGGAATAAAATATCTTGAAATAAATTTAACCAAGGAAGAGAGAGACCAATACAATGAAAACTACAAGACTTTGCTGAAAGAAATTGACAGATTCAATGCAATCCTAATCAGAATCCCAATGACATCCTTCACAGAACTGGAAGAAAGAATCCTAAAATTTATATGGAACAACAAAAGGCCCCAAATAGCCAAAGCAATCCTGAGAAAAAAGAACAAAGCTAGAGGCATCACAATCCCTGACTTCAAAACATACTACAAAGCTACAGTAATCAAAACAGCATGGGACTGGTACAAAAACAGGCACACAGATCAATGTAAACAGAATTGAAAGCCCAGAAATAAAACCACACATCTACGGACAGTTAACCTTCAAAAAAGAAGCCAAGAACATACAATGGAGAAAGGAAAGTCTCTTCAATAAATGGTGTTGGGAAAACTGGACAGCCACATGTAAAAGAAGGAAAGTAGACCATTCTCTTACACCATTCACAAAAATAAACTCAAAATGGATCAAAGACTTGAAGGTAAGACCTGAAACAATAAAACTTCTAAAAGAAAATATAGGAAGTATACTCTGACATCAGTCTTAAAAGGATATTTTCAGACACCATGTCTTCTCGGACAAAGGAAACGAAAGAAAAAATAACAAGTGGGACTTTATCAGACTAAAGAGCTTCACAAGGCAAGGGAAACCAGGACGGAAACGAAAAGACAACCTATCAACTGGGAAAAAATATTTGCAAACCATATATCCAACAACGGGTTAATCTCCATAGTATATAAAGAACTCATACATCTCAACAACAAAAAAATCAAACAACCTGATCAAAAAATGGGCAGAGGATATGAACAGACATTTTTCCAAAGATATACAGATGGCCAATAGGCACATGAAAAGATGTTCAACATCACTGATCATCAGGGAAATGCAAATCAAAACTACCCTAAGATACCACCTTACACCCGTTAGAATGGCTATAATCACCAAGACAAAAAATAAATGTTGGAGAGGTTGTAGAGAAAAAGGAACCCTCATACACTGCTGGTGGGAATGCAAACTGGTTCAGCCACTATGGAAAACAGTATGGCGATTTCTCAAAAAAGTAAAAATAGAAATAACATATGACCCAGCTATCCTACTACTGCGTATCTACCCAAACAACTTGAAATCAGCAATTCAAAGAGACTTACGCATCCCTGTGTTCAGTGCAGCACTATTCACAATAGCCAAGACGTGGAAGCAACCTAAGTGCCCACAGACTGATGACTGGATAAAGAAGATGTGGTATATATACATACAATGGAATATTACTCAGCCACAAAAAAATGACAAAATCATCCCATTCACAAGAACATGGATGGATCTTGAGGGTATTATGTTAAGCAAAATAAATCAGATAACGACAAATACCGTACGATTTCACTCATATGTGGAACATAAACACACAAAGAGAACTATTTAGTAGTTACCAGGAGGAAAGGGAGTTGGGGGTTGGGCAGAAAAGGTGAAGAGGTGCACCTATACGGTGACTGACAAATAATAATGCAACTGAAATTTCACAATGTTGTAAAATATCATAACCTCAATAAAAAAATAATAAATGCACTAAATGTTAACAAAAACGTATTTTTTATGAAAAATAGCTAATTTTCCCAAGCAAAAAACACTTAGTGAGAAAAGTCACACTTTTCTATTTTAGCAAATCTCTTTAACATCTGGCTTCAAACAGAAAACCGCTGGATTCTCATATCTGCTTCTGCATTCAATCTGTTACAGTATCGCAGGTCACGTAGCCTCTGGAAAACTCCACCACACACTTGTGAGAAAATGAGTGTGAAAAAGACAAACAACCTCTGCACATTATTATGAAAATAATTTTGACCTGCAAGTGTCAGGAACCCCAGGGGTTCCTGGATCACTTTGAGAACATCTGATTGAGCCTATACAAGAAAATCAAATACTGAATATGGCATAATAATAAAATATACTTGTTTTCAAATCAAGGAAGCTGCATGTTATGCAGATCACCTGTCCTGATTTAATACAATAATATTCTCCTTATCCAGGTCAAAACTTCTACCAAACAATAATTGAGACTGACTTACAAACTTGCAATGTAAACGAAAAATATTTCTGAGGGCCAAGGGTTTAAAAGACCAGTAGTCCATAGAGGTACAGCAGCATCCTCCAGCCCTCACTCATCAGCTCTGCGCCGGACCAGGCGGATTAAAGGCAGCACCAATACACAGAAAGTAGACAAAGAAAATGCCTGACTTCCGAGAAAGAGGAGACCCATAAAACTACAGGCGGGGAAAAGAACTGCAAAAGTAAAATAATATAGCGCAAACATATCTTGAACGGGAAATACAAGTCTTGCTGGTTGATCGCATACGTAAAAGAACCCACGACGCTGTATACGACTAGACCCCCATCCAGAGAGTGAAACTGCCCCACGACTCTTGCACAGTGTCACCCGCAGGACGGAAAACGGGAAGCCACTCTCTTCTCAACAATCATTCTGTCGACCGTGCGAAGCAAGGTGACAGAACAGGCGTTGAGGGGAAGACTGGTGGGTCGCCTGGAGGCATTTTGCTTAAGCGTTTATACAATTTTCCTAAGCGGACAGCAGTCCACGGCCATTCACGACCCCACGCGCCCGAGTCAAACTCGCGTCTCAGGGACCTCTGTTCCCAGGTGACTTAACTACTTTCCAAGGAAGCGCTGGCACCGCCAGGAGACCGCGCAAATCCTGGCGGGCACCGGCCTCCCTGTCCCCTGTCCCGGGGGCCTTCCCGTGGCTGCAGGGCAGGTCCCCACCCCCCGAGGCGGCGTCGCGGACCCCAGGTCGCGCCTCCTTTGACGAGTACCCGGACCACCTCCCTCCCGGCCTCGGTTTCCCCATCTGTCCTCGAGGGGTCGGACGAGCTGTATCTCTGGGCGCCCCTCCAGCTCGGCGGTCACCCGGCGCCGCCGTCCTCGCCCGGAGCGGGGACCTCCGAGGGGCCAGTCCCGGCGCCGCACTCACCTGGCTGACGCTTCATCGCCATCACCGACACCAGGTAGTGGGCGATGTCAAAAAAGGGGAACATAGACGTGCGAGAAAAGGCAAGGGTCAGCCTCTCCCACTCGGACTCCATGACGACGAGCCACCACAGCGGCCCAGGAAGCCGCGACGACAGGCTCCCGGCGAGAGCCGACAGCGGCGGAGGCGAAGGCGGAGGCAACCGCGGCCGCGCGCCCTCCGGCGCGGCCTGGAGGAGGCTGCGCATGCGCCCTAGCTCCCGGGGCCGGCGCGCCGAGGGGCGGGGCCGCGAGCCTGGGAGCCGCAGGCGCGCGGGCGGTTGGCAGGTAGGCGGGGCGAGCGAGTTCCCGGCTGTCCTCTGCTTCTCCTGATAAGGGTCCGGCGCCAACTCCGGGCTCGCCGCTGTGCCAGACCCGGGAGAAGGGGCGGATGAAGGAAACATAAATCATGAATAAAAAATACATTATTTATGTTAACATGTAGTGCATTTATTATTTTTAAAAGGAATACATAAAAAGTATTTTAAATTTTTCTCAGTTATAATTTCTAATATGCTAAGTATTGACAAGTAACCCACGTAAGTCTGGAGGACGCTCTGGGAGTCCTCAAGAAATTTTGTGTCGGCTTTTTTAAAGGTTTTATTTACATACATTTTATTCCCCCTTTGTAAAGTTATGTGATGTTGGATAAACACACTCAGTCTGGAAGGGGAGACGCTCGGTATCAGATTTATTTCTGTAAATTGATGTCATTCACCTAACATTTCTCCAGCAACCACAGTGTGCAAATCAAACCATGACTCATTGAAGATAGAAAAAAGAATACGATAATATCCTGCCCTCAAGAAACTTGTATTTTCCGAGGAGAGAGTAAAATCTTTTTTTAAAAGGACGTACACAGTTTGTACAAAGCAGGTAGTGAACAGTGTAGGCGCTGTGCCAAGGCATTTCCGAGGAGAAAACTATTTCCGGGAAGCGATAAGGTGAACTGGCCTTTAAAAGCTGTGTGAGAGATGGAGGGAGGTATTTGGGCTAGACTAGGAAGTGAGAAATGAAGTTGGAAAAGAAGTCTTTGGCAGACCATAAACCAGGCGGTTTGGCTCTAGAATCTAACCTCTTGATTACTACCGGTTGCTCAGGCAAATCAGAACCAGAATCCACTCTTTTAACCATGCATTATGCTACGCTGGGTTTTTGTTTTTGAGGGGGATTTGGGAGAAGGTGCAATCAAGCAACAAGATTAGGAACAGATTGGTGAGAAGAGAAGACTAGAGACAGGGAAATCAGACCGTATTCACTGGTCCAAGCAAAAGGTAGTGCAGGCGAGGACAATAGAAGCTGGGACCAGATGGGGAAAGATGCAACAGAAGCAGAATAGGCTGGATGTCAACTCATCCTGTCAAAGGAGGATATGGGGAATAGGTGAGTAGGAGGATTATGGTTGTATTCAGAGAAGTAGCAAACAAGAAGGAGAAGCAGGTTTGGGTGAGAAAAACACAAGTTTAGCTTGGTACACTTTTTATTTGATGTGTCAATACATCATGCTGGCACCAGGAAATTGGAAATACATAAGGAGTTGCTAGATAGGTAAGCGCTATATGGAATACGCACTGCAAAGGGAGACTTTCATTGATTTTTTTATCTGAATATTTATCCATGGATTTTAATTCAGTCAACAAATGTACTTTGGGTGCCTGCTGTGTACCAGACATTTTGCTGGATGTCAGAGGCCCCACCCTAAACACTAAGTGTTCAAAAGGTTGGGAAATTATAGCAAATCTCCACATTTCGTTACTTATCAAGAAAGAATAGACTTGCTAAAATACTCTTCGTATGCGGTTTTCTAAGGAAGCACTTCCTAGTAAAGAAAGGTTTTTAGACCTCTGGCAAAGCTAAAGGAATAAACAACACCTGTGATTATTTATACTTTCACATTTCAGTGGTTCTTTCCATACTTTTTAAACATTCCCTTATTCTTGGAATTATAGAGTTATGAATTTAGAGGCAGAACTTGGATATTATTTCCCAAAAGGCTTTACATTTTAACAATCTTAAATTCCACAAAATATATGTTTTGTCCTTGGACTTAAAAAAATATGAAACATGAAGTAATCTTTACAACATCTCTAAGTCATATGTCTATGCCAGTATCATTCTGGGGTATAAGTAAATTTATTGTTAACACCAATAGGGCAATAGTGAAAAGCATCAGAGATTTTTTTTTAAAGGTAAATCAAACATCTTACTTAACCTAAACAGATTAATTCCAGAGAAAGGAATTAATCCTCTCAGACTCTGTAAGTAATCTGAAATTTGTGTCATTTCAAAACTGAAGGAATAAGCTGGGTCCCTATCTACCAAGAGCCTAAAGAAATTAAAAAAAAAAAAATCTAAGGCAAATGAAATAGTAACCTCACAAAAACACAAGTTTTATCTGAATTTTAAATGTGCTCACTGTATTTGCCTCTAGTCAGCACTTCAGTTATTTAGTGTAACGAAATGAGCCAAGTAGCAGGAAATGGTGAATGAAAAGAGGAAAGGCTTTGAATTGGTAACAGGGAAAGGCAAGATTTGGGGAAATTACATGTGAAAATTAAAACTTTTCCTGACTTTTGGAAGCGGTTTACAAAGTTACATAATTATTGCAGATAAAATGAATTCAAATCAGTGCTTATCCATTAGAAAACAAAACTGGTCTGATTTTATGAACATCTAAAAAAGAGTTTTGTCTAAACGTGTTCAAAGCATTGAGTTCAAAAACATGTGAAACTAATTTTTATAAACCAAGTTTCTCAGCAGCAATACTATTGACGTTTTGGGCTGAACAATTCTTTGCTATGGGGGACTGTTTTATGCATTATAGGATGTTTAGCAGCATCTCTGGCCTCTACCCATTAGATGCAGTAACACACGCATCCGTATGCATGTGTGCATGCGCACGCACACACACCCCGATTGTGACAACCTAAAATGTCTCCAGACATTGCCAAACGTCCCCCGGGATGGGCAAAAACACCCTTGGTTCAGAACTACTGTCATAAATGAATAAATTATTTTTTCAGCAGTATATGCCTCTATTTGTATAACATTATGGTCCTGCCACTAATATTAATCATCAAGTTAATTCTAAAACAACTCACATAACCCTTCTTAGTCTCAGCTTGTTCATCCATCCTCTGGTTCAAGTTGGCAATGTCCTGAAACCCAGTGTCACAAATGCAATCCTAGCTATTTCTTCTCTGCAATACTGCTTTCTATCCACTGAATGGCATGCCCTTCACTTTGGGAAATCAATAAGAGTAACTTTTTAAAGGACTGTAAAGAGTCTATGACTAGGAAGTTTCACATTAAAGAGACCAATTACCCCTCTAATCTTTAGTATTCTCATTAGGCATTTCCATTCTAATGTTATTTTGATAGGTATTTGATAACTAGATCATATCAAATTATAGCTTAACAATATGTGACATTTAAGAAAAGTATGTTTAATTTGAATTCAACTTTTTAAATGTTCAGCTTTATCAAAGAGAATTAACTAGAGAGCAGCAATTGCCCTCAAAAAACCCACTGAATTCAATCAGTGCAATGAGATGCTGGTGCATGGATTTAAGTGATAAACAAATTCAAGTGTACAGTCAACTCTTTAAACTCAGTGTGTATCTAATAATAGTGCCTTCGATATGGTGACTTGCAAAATCTCACTTGACTCACTTATTTCTTGAACTGGAAACTAAGCTCCTTTTCAATAAACATCACTTATACCTGTACTATAAACTGTTAAACCAAAAATGTTTTCCATGTGTAACAAGTGCAAATTTACCTAATTAAAAATCTGATGTTATTAATTGGAATATCTCTGGTATTCATCAGTGTCCGGACTGCCCCAACTGCCGTCACTCACCAGTGCCATAGCTGCCAAGTGTCTGTGGTTAGCAACACTCAAGGTTACAATTCATCTCTGTTCAAGAGTAACAGGCACCATTAAATCAAAGAATAATAGAATTGTGGACATTGAATGGACCCTTTTAAAAAAAGTGCCATGGATTGCACATCATAGAAAACTGTTCTTGGCAGCTTAAGCAATGTGAGGGATTTACTGAAAGATTCTCAGGGAATCTCGTGAAAGCCAAGGGAGACTTGAGCCCCCAAGGCCCAAGAGCAAGAAACCGGGCATTTCTGGGGCCAGCAGCAGCCGGTGAGTGCGGGCTGCTGTCAGTCACTAATGATAGTCACTGTCAACATTGTTCAGTCTCTGTGTCCTCCATTCCCTACAGCCAGGAAATAGAGCCTGCCCTGGCATAGGCTAGATGTCCTCTCCTGGTTACTCAGCTCTGGCACCCACAGCACATGGACCCACAGCATCCCTTGGTATCAGAGGCAATGTCCTGAGAAAGGAGGGAGCCAGGCAGCCATCACAAGATGTGTCTATTACAATCATTTTCTTTAGCCTGTTTAATTCAGAGGAGGAAACTCAGGGCTAGAGAGGTCACGAAGGCAGTCAGTGACAGGCCAGGATTTGCTATTATCCTGTTACGATCACTCTCCCCTAAGTACTCCTGCTGGGCTTTCTCCTGTCCCTCAGACCACAAATACTTCTAAAGTTGTACTTTACTGACAGATCCCGCATCCCTACAGCAATGGAAATGCCACCAGATGAGAGCCAAGAAGACCCACTAGGAGTCAGGGCTATGGGTCAACAGCCAGGATTAAAGGAATGTGTAGTGTCCAGTATAACCAGTTTGCTGAAGGGGCTGAGCTCAGTGAGGTACAATCAAGAAGTGGATTTGTCTTCCTGTAGACAAAGCCCCCAACATGATCCTATGTCAGATCTCCCCTTCTCATCCTTTAACATTATTTCAGCAGATGCCATTTAAGATCCCACCAGCTTCCTCATCGTTTAAGATACTAAAAACAAAGTTAAATAAAAAATTAAAAGTCCAGTCCAGTTAAAACGTCAGTCTTATATCTAATTCAGAGCTTCTCCCCTTTCATCAATCCAGATCTGCCTAGTCCAGAGACTTGCAATGGGGGAAAGGAGCATGGCGTGGTCTTTCAACCTCTCCTCATTTTCTGCACCTTCCATCTTCTATGTCCTGAAGGGTCAAAACAGTAGGC